CAAGTTGTGAAAATTCATTTGAGTGTCCAAGTTTATCTCCTTATGCTGGTTATCAATGACAGCATCTGCTAGAAGATTCTTGAAAATCGGTAGAAACCTTTCAAAGTGCTCCTTAGGTAGGCGATGCTTTAGATCTGAGGCATAATTCATAAAAATGAATTTTAGCATCAGCTGCACTTCAATTATTTAGTCGTTCTCATAGAAAAAATACGGTTATTTTAAATGATTATATATATATATATGTACGAACTATCCCGCTATGGAATCAAGGCAAACTGCTCCAGTGGTATGCGATTTATCTTACGGCGCGTAGTCAAAAGACTATTGTGCATGGCAGAACGTCAGAMAGCCTCCTGTTTTCTCTGGGGTGCCTCGAAGCAAGATCCTTGGCCCCTTGCTCTTTCTCGTTTACGTCAACGATCTCCCCTCTGTTGTGGACTGCCAGGTTGCACAAAGGAGGATGGAGAGAATGGAAACACATTAACCGACCACATCGTACCTGATCCAGCTAACAAGAACTGGAGGGCATTTCCATCGTATTTTGGGCCTAGAATTTTCAATAACCTCAGTTTTATCATGCACGTCACCATCGTTAGCTTCGTCCATAACTTAAGGTGGCTCGTTTCGGTTTGCCTCCGATCGCCTTCGTTTAGCTGGAACGGCGTCTGCATGTCTTTTACATGGCGGCTTCCTCTTCGGTTTAGAAGCTTTCAAGACCTCCTTGGGAATCAGTGTTGCTTTCAAGGTCACATCGAACTCCTTTGTAGGTCCTGCTTCTCCAGGCCAATGCAAGCAGCATAKATGAGTGTGTTTTGTGAAGTGATCTACGGTGAAATCTTTACCTCGGCCACAAGCATCAACCCATCGATGACATATCTCTAGTCCTCGGAACTTCTTTGGGAACGGCAAAAATATTGGTTTATCTTTCTGTAATCTCATTTTTAGCGTTGGGTGTAGAAAATCAGGATATCTGGAATCACTTCTGTACTCTCCCCAACAAAAAAGCTTTGTCGCGACCATCTACAGCACAAAATATCCAACAACAAATAGTTTCTTGCCCTTCGACTCATAACAAACTTCGACAATGTATGCAACCTTTGCTGGGGGTCTAAAATGAAATTACGTGATCTGTTTTTAAAACGTCCGCGCAGCGCTATRAATAAATGTTATCTCTAGGAATACGCGGACTACTCGTCACAGCTCTGCCCTTGATCTACTAAAACCTAAGTGCCATACTAAAACTTTTCAAGCTATTTTAACCGCCTGCCAAAACTCTGTAACAGCCTTCCTTCTTCCTCCCAGTCAACCTCTTCTATTAACTAGTTCAGATCTTCATTAACGAGGCGCTACTCTGCTGCTCTTTCTTAGTAAATGCTTATGACGTAGACATAGAACTTTAACACCTGGAATTCTGTATGCGCCAAGTGCTGCTCCTCTCGCAATCTCTCTTTTCTACTAGACCCTGCTGCTACTAACTTGCATGGGCTGTGGGGGTGTGTAAATATATATATATTGGTACAGTTTAATAGTTAGATTTTGATCACACTATAGTTAGAATATCGTATAGTTAGGTTATAAAATAATTTTAAGTCTTGTAAGTGTGTTTTAAAATATTTTTAAATGCCCTTGAGTAGCACACGTGCACTAGTTTACCGTCACGACTCGCCTATTTCTTTAACTAATTAGACTTAGGCAACCAAAGATTAGTAATTAGTTAGCTAGCTATCTATTTCACGTGTATATTGTGTGCACTCTAAACGAAAGTCATAGGTCAAATCGCCAAGTAAGATATTTATAAATCAACGATTTTGTACAAGCATCTCTCAGTCCTGGTCTGATATAAACATGGTAACCAGCCAATCAGCACTCAAATATTTTATAAAAATCTATAACACGTCTAGTAAATAAAACATTGATAAATTAATATGCATATTTTTCTTCCCTAGTAATTAAATTTTAAATTTAAAAATATTTCATTTATTTCAATAATGTCCATTCAGGTTATATTCAATAATACTATTTTCAATTCCTTTCAGGTCACCGAAGAGCTTTTAACAAAATTTTAAAGTCAAGCAAAGGATAACATCTGCATAGCACCCACAATCCAATGGTCTTGATGAAAGGACAAATCAAACATTAAAGAAGTAAGTCTGAAAATAAATTTTAACAGGAATGTTCAAAAATTAATGCAAAAACATTTTTGAATGATAAAAATAAATAATAAATAATATATGTAAATAAATAGTAAAATAATCTTGTATTAGGTTAACCATGTATGTAAATAAAGCTTTAAAAAATTAAAAAATAAGAAATCAGAGATGCACCTCTTTTCCCACAAGAAAACCCCTTCAAATAATAGAATGATGTGTCCAATTTCACCCCACAATTTTGAGTACAAAAAGAAGTATTATCCAGGAACTTGACATTTTTAAAACTGCTCGACATTGGTTTTAATTGATCTAGAATCCTTTATCTAAGTCATATAAAACTTAAGAATARGTTTCGACCAAGCCAGTGACACAAGTAAGTCCACTTCCATATTTAGGTTAAGGCTGGTTTTCTCAGTCACGTGACCTGACCCTGAGCATTAAATCTAGCCTCGACTGGACTGCCTTAAATCTTGATCCTAATCCCAATCAACTTTTTGGTTTGTAACTGGACAATAAGAAAACTCCTGCACGAAAGATGCTCAGACTGGGAGCAGATGGAGCCTTATTTGCATTGAATACAAGTATCAGCACGACAACACGATACAGTCCTTTCTCCCTAATGTTTGGTTGTGACCCCATCCTTCCATTTGAGAGTGAAATTGAAAACCAAAACCACGCCCCTGTTTCATTCAGTGAAACTGAGTTGGAAAACAATATTTTACAAAGAATGGAAACTATCAACAAGATTCAKGACGAAATTTTCCCTTTTGCATCAAATAACATCACACATGCACAAGAAAAGCAAAACCGACAATACCAGAACAAGAGAGAAAACATCATTTGCCCATTTAAAGAAGGCAATATCGTTTCAAAAAGAAACGTGCTTCAAAAACTAAAAATGGGTCACAAAATGGCAGACAACTGGCTTGGCCCATTTCAAGTTACTGAGGTAAATGAAAGCAATGGGACTTGTCGACTTAAGAAACTTAGTACCTCACAAGTACTAAATCGACAGATAACCATGAAGCAGCTCAAAAATTTTAACATCCCACCAAGTAGTGCTCCTGGTCAGTCTACCTCCAGTGCTATTCCTGGTCAGTCTATCCCCAATGCAGTTCCTGGTCAGTCTATCCCCAGTGCTGTTCCTGATCAGTCTACCCCCAGGACTCTTCCTGGTCAGTCTACCCCCAGGACTCTTCCTGGTCAGTCTACCCCCAGTGCTGTTCCTGRTCAGTCTACTTCAAATTCCCCTGTTGTTTCCACCATCAGTTTAATCAGAATCTTCTGTTTCTCTTCCTTTCAGGCATATCGTGGAGCTGGTTATTTCTGTTTCAGAACTAGAGAGTGACCAAGAGTCTGAATCAGAGAACTGAATTAGGCTGCGAGTCAGTCTCTGATTCAGTCTCCGATTCCAACACAGATGATGAGGACGATGATGAAATGTCGGACCCCCAAAACAAAGACCTTGAAGGAGCTGTTTTCCCGAGTACTTGCGCCTTCGAATGACACCTCACAGGGGAGATATGTCGACGCCGGCAAAGGAAGAAGCCAAAGGTAACTCACTATCACCGTTTCGTACGTGGAAGGTTTAGGATGTTAACCTCTCACGTTTCTTTTCAGGTCACAAACATAGCAAAAACAGTAAGCAAGGGCGGAGATGTCCTGATGGACTGCTTTGGCAACCCGTTTTTTTCAACCACACCGGGACAAAACGGCCACCAAAGTGAAAGCCGGCACCACACTAAAGGTCTACTCCCGCTCGCTGGAGACGTTTCTTGAATGGCTCATCCATCACCAGGCCCATTACTTGAACATCAGGGAGATGGTAACTATCAAAGCTAGATGTCATGTCTTGATTTCACTGTCCCTCAATTAACATTTTCGTTTTTCAATCTACCATGACCCGCCTTCAAACAGTTCAAGTCCCCTTGACTCTTCCCAAGGACTGTAGTCATCACCGAAACAAGCAAATGCCGAATGACAGAAAAAACCAGCTGTCCCTTGAGGAGGTAACATAACTCTTTGAAAGGGCGTTTATGTATTTATGTGAACTAATCCATGGTATCCTTATGCTAAAGTTAAACGCTTAATAGAGTCCGATCACGGCAAAAGATGCAAATGGCGACTCCTAGAATTTTACAACAAAAAGAAGATCTTGTTGGCATCCCCCAACCAAGAGACCATGACCGAAGGCCAGGATTTCAGTGACTATCTGGTATTGGTGCTACTGGTGGCGTTTGCTGCAAGGTRTGGAATTTAAAGTCATTGCTCATGTTTTCCTTATCAGCTAATAAATAATTCTTGGTTTTTAGAGCCTMCCTAATTGCAAACCTTATGCTGTACGAGTACACTGACAGCCGTGATACATACCCTCAACAAAGATGGGTAGGATGGGTCAGTCCTGCAACATAAGACAGCGGCAAGCAGTAACCACCTACCAAGACACAGAAGTAAGTGATGTAGTAAATTCCACCGAGAGATGTGATGTAACACCCATGACAACATTGATCTTGATGTTCTTGTTTCACAGACAATGAAGATGCTAATGGCATACAAGAGGTTGGTCAGGCCCTTTATCCTCAAAAGCAATGAAGTTGACGGGTCTGTGTTCAACGTGTCCAACGTGATAGTGTCCCACTTCTATTTTTTATGACGCGTTGTTCAGCTTTTTTCAACTCCGGCTTTGTTTTTGATCACGCAAGCACAAACATATATATGAATGNATGTTCTTGTTTCACAGACAATGAAGATGCTAATGGCATACAAGAGGTTGGTCAGGCCCTTTATCCTCAAAAGCAATGAAGTTGACGGGTCTGTGCCCAACGTGTCCAACGTGATAGTAGTTGTGGTTACACTTAGACCTTTTCCCGTGGTAAAAGGCTTAAATCCCTCGGTAAACCGATTTTTGTAGTGTAACCGACATTTCCCGTGGTAAATATACCGCGGTGAATCACCATAGATACATCAAAARGAACAGAAGAACCGACCGTGACATTTACCTAACTAAAGAGCTGGGTCTTTCTCCGTCCCAAGATAAAGCGACCAATCAGATTGCTTTGTGAGGTTAATCCCGGAAACTGCATGCTGTGAGTACTGAGTTGAGTTAAAACACATCGTGTAAAACGAGAAACTCGTACGTGTGTAACTTCGAGCATCATGGCAGGATTTTATGACTCACAGTGAGTATTTTAATGATCATTTAAAATTCATTTTCAGTATTTAAATAAGGGTAGTTTATGCGGAATCAACTGATGAAATTTTTTTTAGGAGTTCTGGAGATGGTCTTCACAATGGTTATTTATTTCAACGCCAGAGAATGAACCGCGTGGCTCAACATGGTACGTACGGCACATTTCCCAGCCAGTCTAATACAGTGCATTTTGCCGGTCAAGAACCATATTACCYGCCAGCTTCTACAGGACAATTTGTTTTTGTGCCCTCTGGATCTCCACCACCAGGCATGCCCTTGACTGAAGACCAACCGAGTACATCAGACGCCACATCAAAAGGTGAATCTGCATCCAAAACAGCAGGAAAGCGTTGGGAAGATTTAGAGGTGAAGCTCCTAATAGAAGCTTACAAGGAGAATCATGATCGCCTAAAAAGCGCAAAGAGTAGTCGCGGGAAGAAAAGTGCTTGGGAAATTATTTATGACGATTAYATTCAGCTTTGMAATGATGCCAAAATCAAAACCACTAAGACCTTAGTCCAGGCCAAAGAAAAATGGAGGGCGCTCTTTGATAAGTACAAGGCCGTCTGTGACAACAACCAAAGGACGGGACGTGGAAGAATGGATTTCGAATACTTTGAAGCCATAGATGAATTTATGGGGCMGTCGGACAAGGTAAATCCGAAGTTCGTGAAAGAAACTGCAATTATTAATGATCAGGATGATACAAACGAGGAGGACAGTCCGGGGGACACTAGTTCTGAAGTAGCAGATGAAACATATGGCAAGCAAGAGAAGAAACAAACCAAGAAATCGGATGACAGTATTKAGCGCCCAAAAAAAAGGAAGAAGACAAAGGAGGAGAAGGGAAAGGAAGAAAGTGAAAAACTGATGGAACTGTTGCAAACGCAGCAAGAAGCCCTTCAAAAGTCAGAAGAAAATGATAGGAAAGCGCTAGAATCACTGCTTCAGTTCCAAAATGATGCTGAAAGGAGGCACCAAGAGTTTATGGTATCCGTACTAGGGAAGTTAGGAGATATCTTCTCAAAAAAATAGGTTTGAACTGTTATGTTTTGAGTAGAGGAATTTATTGTTACTGTTTCATTTACATGCTCGTATTTCACGAGTAGTGGATGCTTAATTKTCAATCATAAAGCTTTTGTATTTGATATAATWRAACTGAACATACAGATAAGTACGACCTCTAGTAATGAACGAACATTAGATAAAACGAACAAAATTGTTTGCACAAAAATGCATTGATATTTTCTAGATACGAAATAAATTCAATTCTCAATAATAAYTACTAGCCTCAATTTACTGGTTTGCTAAGTAATCCACTACAGCTTGTACAATATTATTAGCAGCACGAGAGGGGGGTCTATCATCGGCATCATCATCACTATCATCATCTTCATCATCACTACCATCGTTGTACTGGTCTCCTCTCAAAATACAAATGTTGTGTAGCACACAGCATGCAAATATCGTATCAGGAACTCGGTCTGACTGCTCATCTAGCCTTTTCTGTAGGACTCGCCATCGATTTTTCGTAGAACCAAAGGCATGTTCAGACACTACTCTAGCTTTAGAAAGCTCTTTGTTGAAATATCTTTGGTGTTGATCGAGTGTACCATTGTCTTTAAAGGGCCTAAGTAACCAAGTTTTTAATGSATACGCAGAGTCGCCAACGATAAGTGGACGAATGACGGTACCATTTACATCTAGTGTTGGCTCCATGAGGATATCCTCGTTCTCTGCTGCGTCAAACAGCTCTGTTAATCTCAAAACTCTAGCATYAWGCATGCTCCCAGGGTATCCCGTAGAAACAGACAAGTAGAGTTGGGAGGAATCTACAACTCCTTGGACAACATAACTATAAAAATGCTTGCGGTTAAAATAGTCCTCGTGATTTGTCTTTGGAGCTTTGATTGGGACATGACTACCATCAACAGCTGCCATGACATTGGGGACTTCACTCTTGTGTGAAAAGCCTTCAATTCTTTTTTGAACCTCAGCTCTGGAAGTTGGAAATTTTATAAACTCGTTCTTCAGGCGACATAGTTCTTGTACAAATTCATGTGTGCAATATACTGCTGAGGCCTTTGAAAGCCCCATCATCAAACCGCAAGAACGATAGCACTCTCCTGTAGCTAGTCTCCATAAACTTACTGCCACCCTCTTCTCTACTGCGATCGGGTTTCGTAGCCTCGTATTTTGTCGGTGAATTGCTGGTCCGACTAGCTGGCAGATATATTCAAAAGTCTCTCTTGATACACGGAAGTTTTCTTTCCACCAGTAATCGAGGGCACCGTTATTTAGGASTTCTTGGAACCAATTCTGCGGCCGGGGAAGTACCCAAACGCTTCTTGGGGCTCTTGTAAGTTGTCGATTTCGTTGATGAATTATTAGCTGGACTTCCAACATACAAAGAAAATTATACATTTGACGTCTACGCAATGACCTCCTTATTAAGTAATACTGAATAGGTAGGTATGAAGCGGACGGTCGGCGAGAAAAGAGTAGCAACAGA